AATTGCATAATAATCTAGTAGTGAGAGTTGTTTAATGAAAGGTTATCAATCTCAAAGTATCAAGAAGGTGACAACAGATCAAGTAGTTAAGACAATTAATCAAAGCACAGATTAATTATAGCAGAAAGATTTTATGAAACCTTGAGCAGGTTCTTACGTAATTGATATTTTGTGAAATAGTAACTAGAAAGAGAAAATGAACTGTTACGTAAAGTGGTAAATTGTTGACGGTGATTAGAGACAGTACGGGGAGGGGAAGATGGCTAAAACTGTAATGATAATGATTCAGCCATCAAAATATTAGTTGTAATCAGTTGTGGGATGAATGAGGTGTACGGCCTTGTTGTGATAAATAAGCTATGCATATGGCCAAGACAAAGAAAGAGGCTGTGCGAATTACTTCTGGACAGAGACTCGGCTTGCTTAGGTAGGTTTCTATGGCTTGTGCTGTGTGTAAAAGACGGACTCGTAGAGCATGGGCGAGGTTAGAAGGAATGTGATAAATAACTTTAAAGACATTATGAATATTAACTCGGTGGCCAGTGTCAATCAGATGCGAGAGTATTGAGCTTCGTGTCAACCTGGTTTGCTCCTTACTTAGACACGAAGGGTGATGCTCATCGAATCGATGACGGACTTGCCTAACTGTCCGTCCAACGTAACTAGCTCCGCAAGAGCAGTTGAACTGGTAAATGCACATAGAAGAGGAGAAGTCAAGTAGTCTGTTTTTAGATCGCGTGGTCATCATCGGCCGACTGTAGAATACACAGCATAACTTTGAGGCATTAAATGATCTTCTTATGGCATTTCTAAAGCGTTGTGTCACAATTTCAGTACATCGTAAGAGGAGCCCCTTCAAGGTGGATGGCATAATTCTAGTTTCCTTTTTTCTTTTCCAGTTCGCTAAATGTGAAGTCCATTGTTTCCATCATAGGGACACTTGTGAATAGGGATGATACGTTCAAAGATATCATAGGCTTGTTTTTCACATTCAAATCTCTTGTCTTATCAACAAAGTGAAAAGTATCTTTGAGGCTGCCTCCTACAACCTCCTCGTGCAATGGTTGCAAGAGTCGTACTAGCATTTTCGCTGTCGCATGATATGGAGAGTTTGACATGTAAAGAATTGGTCGGAGTCGTAATCCGTTCCTACGCACTTTTGGTAAACCATATAACCTCTGTGGTACTGTGCCAGTAGGTCTGAGTTTTTTATACACACTTTGTGGGATGAAGCCTTGCCGTTTTAGCTTCTCTAAGGATTCAGATAATTGCCACCCAGGCTTATTCTGTCATATCAGTATTGGTTGACGGTTTCTGAAATTTCCTGCGATAACTACGGGGGGTGTTCATTTTATCCGGGTATTCCACTTTGATCACAGTAACCACCTCCGAAACTTTATCGGGCCTGGTGATCAGTAGATTCTCTTTCATTCGGAGTTTACGTAGGGCTTCTCTATGTTTTCTAATCAGGATGCCTCTGGCATTCTGCTTAATATTCATAAATTCGTGGCAACAGTCAACCATGTGGACCCGGATACGTCAATCATTAAGCACAAAGTCGCTTTTCGAAATGAATGTCATTCACCACTAAGCCCTTTTATATTTCTGTTTCGGAAAGATGAATAGTGCATAGGACGACAGTCGAAGAATGTCGAAGTGGAATGGCCATTGAAAAGTCCTCAATATTTCGCCGAGTTAGTACGCCAACTGCGAGATAATGCTTGCAGTGTTACTCTGTCAGGATCAACATTGGAAAATTTACGAACATACCGATCAGGATTTGGAGGAAATCTTCGTCCTGGATTCCGGTTCTCCAACCTTTGAATAGTGTGAATTCTTTTCTTCTCTTTCCCTCTGCTGACAACTTGATTCGCATATGCCAAAAATGGTTGTTTCAGGTGGTGTGTGAGATCTTCAGCTTTATGGAATCTTTCTAAAACTTTTTTCATCTACTCTGTTGTGAATGAACGAAATCCAGTTAAATGTTTGGTCCATAAGCCTAGACTTGTCTGTTCGGATGATACTTTTCACGAAGAGCTTCAAATTACCATGATCCACTCAGTAGTGATGGATATCTAGAAACGTTTCCGGTTAAAAACATGGAGACGTCCAATGCGAAAACCAGAATACATGCAGTCTCCAGGAAACCATTGTTCCTAAGGCCACAACTTCGAGGTGACATCATAAGCGAAGTCGTGACACAACGCTTTAGAAATGCCATAAGAAGATCATTTAATGCCTCAAAGTTATGCTGTGTATTCTACAGTCGGCCGATGATGACCACGCGATCTAAAAACAGACTACTTGACTTCTCCTCTTCTATGTGCATTACCAGTTCAACTGCTCTTGCGGAGCTAGTTACGTTGGACGGACAGTTAGGCAAGTCCGTCATCGATTCGATGAGCATCACCCTTCGTGTCTAAGTAAGGAGCAAACCAGGTTGACACGAAGCTCAATACTCTCGCATCTGATTGACACTGGCCACCGAGTTAATATTCATAATGTCTTTAAAGTTATTTATCACATTCCTTCTAACCTCGCCCATGCTCTACGAGTCCGTCTTTTACACACAGCACAAGCCATAGAAACCTACCTAAGCAAGCCGAGTCTCTGTCCAGAAGTAATTCGCACAGCCTCTTTCTTTGTCTTGGCCATATGCATAGCTTATTTATCACAACAAGGCCGTACACCTCATTCATCCCACAACAAGGCTATATTAGTGTAGAGCCATTGATGGGGAACTAACTGTAAAGGCATATCTTTTCGCTCACATTGTTACCTTGCTTAATGCGTCAATTGGATTTTTTTCTGATAGTACGTGTGTAAATTCTTATGTGCTTGCTACTTATCTTGCCATAGTAGGGATGATTGGCAAGCTTGACATTCGGAGGATTTTGGTCATTTGATGAAATAGCATTTACTATGTGATTGTCTGCAACACGTCTAATTAGGATGTTCTTATTTGTGCAATTATTTCTGCTGACAGTCCTCACATTTACACGCCGTACAGCGTAGTATTTTTGCAGGAAGCCATGAAAAAATTCGGGGGGAATATTTGAGGTGTTTGTGGGAGATGGAGGGATTCATAACACAGCAGAGGAAATGTTGAGTCATGCTAAATATTCTCAGCCCCCCAATATAGTAAGTTAGTCTGAAGATTCTTTCGGAAATTAATGAGATATGTGAAGACCTGGAAAGGTCCGGAGATAAAACACGTTGAGATAAATCACACTTGTAACACTCTGTGAATTATGACTATCAATGTTGTAGGAAGCATAAGGGTCAAGCAGTTTACACAGGCCGTGATTGCGCCTGAAACCAAAGTTTATTGTCTGACATTTGAAGAATTGGGCAGAAGCATGTACACGGGAGACCATCTCTCAATAACACGCAGAAAATTACTCAGCATAGAGCGATTTGTTGAGAAGGATAGAGGAACGGAAACTGTCAGGTGATCAGGGAATGTAATAGGAAAATGATATGAGAATCCCTCCTGATCACGTTTATTTGTTGACTTGATTCTGGCAGACAGAGTTTTGATCCTTTTATTGTGAATATTCTTATTGACTCCCGGGCACTTAACAGTTGTATTTGTTTGACCAGTTTTTACCGTATAGTACGTATTTGCGCCCGAGAACGTTTGGACTGTATAGTTACCCAACGCACTGTTGAGGTGTTTTTGTAATTTTGATATAACGTATTGTTACTTTGATAATACCTCAGATTTTACGAATCTAGCGCTGATTTACTACAAACCGTGTTTTGATATTTCGATCCAACCTCTGACTGTGCGTCACTCGCGGAAGTTCGGAAGCATTGTTCAGAGCACGTTTCCACCCACTGCGGTGATTTTTCCCGCCCTATAGTTACGGGTTGTACACTTTTGTAAACCTGTGAGAATATGCTATGCAATCAGAAGACAAAAAATGATGAAAACAATCAAAAGTTTGAAACTATTTGATGCGACTTGTGAGTTGGGGGACATTCTGTAGAACACAATACATCCATCTGATCTACGATGTCTAGATGTCATAATCCACAAATTAGACTCGGTCTCCCACTTCTCCTCTGGCTAAAGGTACACCAATAAACGACAAATTAGTATTTCAGGTTGGAATAACAGTGATCCCTATGACCAGTTTTGCCAAAAATAAAGTGTATTGGCACTCTAATTTCACCAAGGCACGGTCTTTGGATTGCTACATTACCTAGTAGTTATTTTGTGAAACTTACCAAATAATACATCGCAGTCTCCTTTTCCTACGAAGTCTTAGGGAATCAGAACTCACAGGAAAACTGCAGTCACCTCCTAACTCATTTCTGACAGAGTAAAATACATTCGAATCATTGCTAATATCGCAATTATTGCAAAAAAGAACTCACATGTGACCCACCAACAGAATAAAACCCAAGTGAGCTACAAAGGCGTACGTTATTAGATATTTGCTGTGTAAGTAGTATGGAGCGTCAGTGACGTTAGTCGTCATCAATCCGTTAAAGAAGTGTACCAAGTAAGCAAATTAGGGCCTAATTTCGGATTATCACTCCAATCATTATGATCGATTTTATCTAGAGGGCCAACATGGCAAAATACCGGATACATGCATTGCATATAAACGCTTATGTGCCACATTTATAATGTAATGGCCTTTATCAAGTTGCAGGGAAATCCTAATGTTAGTTTCTAGTTAGCCAAAGGTTTCGAAAACACTATAATTACGGAAGCAACATTCGAAAACAGCGCGTTTTTGTTCCGAAAGGTATTATCATGCTAACCAATCAGAGCGAAGAAAGTTGTCGCTTTATCATCACTGGCGCAGTTTTAAAATAAGTTCAGTGACAGGTGCTTCGACGGAGATTAGGTATCGGCAACTTCTTTACTACCTTCTTGGAATTTAGTCTACAAATTTCCGTTTGTACATCACTTTTTCTTTTGTGCGATTCTTTAGAATCGATCGACAATTACTAAGTATAGGTCAACAGACGAAATCTAAGGAATTATGGAACCTCCTCGGAGTCCAGCACCTCACTTGATTATTCCCAGTCCAATATTTCACAAACGAAATCGTACAAAGTCTCAGTCCGAGAATGCTTCTTCAGGAGATTTTGGCGAAGGTACAATAGTGAAATTTTGTCGCAAAAAGGGTCATGGTTTTATCAAACCTCGTGACGGGGATGATTTCTTGTTCGTTCATGTATTTGAGTAAGACCGTTGTATTTTTCATTATTTTTAAGTATTGATGGGGAATATGTGCCGATGGAAGGGGACGTTGTGGAATATCGTAAAATGCTTATTCCTCCAAAGAATGAAAAGTACCAAGCAGTTCATGTAAAATTGTCAACCTTTCACCAGAGAAGCACCAGACGTGGGACGAACCTGCTTAGCAGCCGTCTGATGTACAGACAAATGTGCCGACTGGCTGTTATAGACGAGGCTCTGCAATTTTAACCAGTGCATCTTGTAAATAAAATAAACAGTTTTAATATACTATTTTGTATTATTACAAGTCTTATGTTTTCTGGATATGGTGTTTGATTGTTACTGTGCAAATCCCCGAAGAGCAGTATTTTTTAGTTTCTAATCCTAAGTCCCGTGAAAGTGTAACGAGCTTGATATCAAAGTCCCTCGAAGTACCCAATCAGGCGTAGTGAATTCTTCACATGTGATAGTAACTATTTATAGTACCACTTTCAGGTATATTACAGAATTATAAGTCGCTTAACTGTCATTTGATTCTCATTTATGTGATTGTCCTTTCATGATACATTGGTGTTGTGTTGTACTAGTTTAATTACTATTTTCGACCAGTTTTACAGGTTCCAGCCCACTTCAACTATCGTGGTCTCAGCAGCCAAGTATTATCAGCAGATGTAACTTGTCACCTACAGTACGTCGTCACAGTGTTTATTGGTTACAGTATTGTCCACGACTTTTAGACAGCATTACTGTTTAGAATATTCATGACTGCAGATTTCTGATTCGTTCATGAAATGATGTCAATTAATTAGACCTATGTTGTGTTCCAAAAGTTTAGTGACCATATTAACGGACCTACTAGATTGTCTGATAGAGCCCAAATATATTCTCAGCCAATGTCCATATACCGTTTGAGCTTATATAACATTTTGGGTATGATGTCTTCACTTAACTTGCTGTAGCATAACTGGTAGCTAAGTCATAGAGGTAATCAGCTCAAGCAAAAGTCCAGTTTTGAAAGAAACACTGAACGAAAGAATATTTCGTTTCAAAGTAGCATGTCGCTGGATTGTAAATAACTGCTATCATATATCCAGCGGTAAATTTGTCTGTTTCTTGATATCAAAAGGGGGCGAAAAATTAGGATGGACCTAATTGTAACAAAACCCAGTCGAATTATAGGAGTTTAAAGGTTTTTACACGAATATTAGCTTACACGACTAGTATGGTTTCACCGATAGTCGACACTAAAAATAATAGTTTGTAGGTTGAGTGAGATATTTGGTGTGCCCAAGGTTGATATAAAGGCTGTAAGAAATTCTTCTGAACGCAAGTTGGTCCCATGGAGATGAATTCAGATGGGTTCACCGTAAACAAAATTCAAACACAGCACATGCTTACGATTACAAGCAAGATAAATAGATTTGAAGTATTTTTTAATCCCAGCTTTATGCCATTGTCGACAATAAGTGTGTATGTGTCTATCCTTCGGTTAGATAAGAAGGGAAATGTTCGGTGGTGAGCTTGCACGGTCGTGCTCAGTGTGCCTAGCACCACTGAAACAATTTAAGTCATAAAAACAAGAGGCTAATTAGTACATGATATTGGTTTTGATACCTGAAATTTGATGGAGTGGAAATGGCAGTATAATTTAGTTGCACTTTTTGTCGTTCTCAATATGCTTTAGACGTTTACAATCCTATTAGCAATACCACACTAACTGCAGTCCTAACAGCGTTAGTTTCTGCACAACTGTGTTCGGCCTTCAAAAATTATCTTTACGGTAACTTGACAGATGTAGATGCGTCACTGATTCTTTGTACTTGTAGAGTACCCACGAGTGCAAGACCGAGAAAAAACACTAGCGTAGTCGAGTAGGAATAGTAAATTTATCACTACAACCTTGGTTTTCGTCATGACTAGTCATATTTCTCTCTAAGGATTCTGCCAGATCTTCATTTATTTTAAGTGAATCATAAATATTTTTGAGCTCTACATTAATAGCTTCGTCCTGGATGCATTCCAGAGAAGCGCATATGAAATTCTAGTGAAGTGCTTCAAATAACTTCTCCATCTGTCTACTCGAGAAGTATGTTCCTTATGGTCTTATCCAGAGATGCTAGTATGTGTCTAGTCTTGGTGTTGACACACCAAATGCTAGAGCTAGAGTTTCACTAGTAGACTGGATCCTGGTCGACGTTGTCTATCTGCTGACGAGACCTGGATGGAGAAATGTTACTTCTACCTACGCTCTAGAGGCCTGCAACTTGGATGAAAACAGGAATGAGTCCTCTCCCTAATTAAATGAACTTGGCTAATTATGCTCCATAGATATAATGATAATAACTAAGGAATGAAATGCATGTTGAGCATCAAGGTTCAGAGGAGAGCTGCTTAGGTGACCAGTGGGGTCTTGGTGACTGAAGACTAGATCTCGAGAGTCATCTTTTAGAGAACACAACCAGCACCAAAAGAACCATGGCTAGTATTCTACCTGATATTCATCAGCTCATGAAGTTGCTGACTTGTTCTGAGAAATATGAGAAAATATTGTTTTACTTGTTAGTGTCTGAATAACCAAACTAACCAAACTAGTTCCCTTTTCGTTGTCGCAGGAAGACTTCTCTCCCTTATAGATTGGGATGATGGCACTGTCTCTGATTCCCATACACTACGTGGTATTTCCATACCTTACTCAGCTATTTCCTACCTCCATCCTTGAAAACTTCGGGTGGCAAACTGTCAGGTCCTGCTGATTTGCATCGTTTCAGATTCGATACAACCTTCTCAACGACATCTACATCCCATTCAGTTTCAAGTTGGATGTCGGGCAACTGAGGCGTGTCTGTACACTAGTTGAACTGTGTTCTAAAGTGTTCTGCCAAACGTTCCAACCGTCTGTCCTTGGAGGTTGTCAGCGTTCCATCCTTTTTTCTGATAGTCTCACTAACTATTGTTTTCTTCTTGTCAGTATTGTTAATAATCCTAAATAGTTGCCGGATGTTACCTAACGTGCCTTCCTTATCTCTCTCTCCCTCTCTCACTACTGCTCGTGATTAACGCGAAAACTTGCTCAATTTACGCTTGAGTTGCTGTCGCTCTTCATCATGGTCAGAGCCAGCAGACGTATCTTTTCGCATCAATCAGTTCGGACGACGTCAGGGAAATCCAATGACGTTTACTAACCTTTGGGTGTAGGTTACCAGTTGTCTTCACTTCTGCTTTTATAGCAGACTGAGTATCACTCCAAGTTTCCTCAGGATGAGCATTGATGCCATGTTCAAATAAATTCTCAGCTAACTCCTCTCTAGATACGTATTTAGCGACCTGATCTTCCAATCGGACATAGACTTTGCTATCGCATGTTTCCTGCAACCAGTAAGGTGCAGACATACACGAGTTGGTACAAGCGCGTGATCTGAGTCAAAACAGGTGCTCCAAAAAGATAGTCAATCCTCCACCGATCTCTCGTCCACTAATGATAGCTTATGGCAATATGATCTGTCTGTGTCCTTCGTTGGTTTGATGTTGGCTGACTCTATATAAGAGAGTGTTTCTCCTTATGCCTAAAATTAGTGATGGCCAGAAACAAGTGATTGTCGGAGCAAATTGTAACAGACGGTAACCGTTGTCAGTTCCTTGGGATGAGATTCTGCAGTTGCTTCTTAAGTACCTATGCCAGTAGATCAACTTTCCTGCTTGATTGTGGAAGTCACCTGCAATTATGAATATATCTGAACATGGGGCTTTCTGCAGCCAAATCTTGACGGCTCTTGATGAGATTCATCTTCTCCATCGTCCGAACTGCAGTCTTTGAGTGCGTAGGCAGAGATTATGAATACGCATCGGTTGGCACCTCGATCCTTCCTTGTTCTTGCAGATCCATTCAGTCAAACAGCAACATAAAAGGCTGTTTACTGTAATCCAGTTGAGAAGCGAACTTTCTACTCTATAGGTTAGTGCTATACCTACACCAACGAGTCCAAAAGAAATGAATTTTGAAGATTCACGTCACTGGTCAGGTGAGGTCAATTTAGTGAACACACTCAGGCCTAGTACACGTGTGTGAGAGACACACCATACATCCATGGCTCGAGTTTCTAAAGTCCCAGCGAGCGATATTTGCTGTGCGATTTGGCATAGATTCCGGAGGTCGAAAGCTCTAGGAGTGAGGTTTTGATTCTGTCGATCTTTGGTAATGCTCGGAGAGTGAGTGGTTTGGTAAGGTGTAAGAAGCTTTATTTTTGTATCAGAAGGTTAAGGCAAAGGAGGAGGATAGGTTATTGGGTATTGTGTACTACTGGAAGTGTGCGGATACTTGACACTTCTTGCCTGTCCATACCATAGAAGGGTGGGTCTCCTTGAGGTGCCTGAGAGAGAAAGGATAGTGCGTGACCAGAGCCCAATGGCCGTCTGCCTGAGACCTATCACACATGGCCTTTTGGCAATCTTCAGATCTTGGTTGTTTGCTTTCGAATCCAACTATTAATCACTGTTGAAGGTATAGGTATGCCATGGGGTAATGGGAGTGTTCTGTTTTTTAGATCGACCTTTTCTAACCCCCTCTTTGCCGTAGGAAAAGCAGCATCAGCATTGTACCGCTGGTATTCCTAGGGAAACAATTTACTGCTGTCACATTCCTGTCCAATCAGCAGTACGACAATACACAGTAATGACAACTGCTTTCCGTCTGTCCAAGAGAACATCCTGGCACAGCAGAACCTTGAGGAAACAAGTGTTCCACCAGCATAGCTCGTTCGGTCATTGTGATATACAAGCCCCACCACCACTTCAAGGTAACAACCCAATAAAGTGATTTCCAGGTGAAAATTTACAATTAAACCTATCTCCATCCATCCAAATCAGCATAGAACCAGACCTTACTAGGTAACGGTCTGAGTTGCCATAGCTCATACGTAACACATGTCTCAACCATCTCAGTCGATGAAGGTTCACAACCGTGTCAACTGACTTACCTCTTCTCCCTAAAACTCTACGCCTGACCTCTGCGTTATTCACATGGTGACACCATGAAACGGTCTCTGCTACGAAGGCAACGGTGGTCAAACACCTGGAGCCTTCTCATGTCTTCGACCTCTAATGGCCATGTTTCATAGCCATACAACAGAACAGAGCGGACTGCAGCACAGTACACTTAGCCATTAATAGACAATCGAATATCACGGCGCCACAGGTGGCGTAAGTTGGCAAAAGCCAGCCGAGCCTTTTGTATTTATGCAGAGATTTCATCGGCCATTGAGTCACCAGGGCTGATCCCACTTCCCAGATAAGTGAAGTGGTCAACACATTCAACCACTTCACTCTCTATTGTTAGTCGAGGCACTATTGAAGACCAATCCTGGAGCAACAATTTGCATTTGGGTGGTGAGAAACGCACTCGAAACATTCTCAAATTGCCACTCAAAGTGTCCAGAAGGCTTTGCATCTTGTCAGCGTCTTCACCTAGCAGGACAATATCATCTGCGTATTCTAGGTCTAACGAAAATTCTCCTGCGATTAGGTCAACGTCTGTGTAGTCAGGTGACGAGAGGGAGACTTCCATAGGAGTATCTACAATAAAGTTGAATAAGAATGAAGAGAGTGGGCACCCTTGACGGACACCACTCGACGAGTACAGCACAGACCTGTCTGCGAAAATGTAGCCAATCATCTAGACAATGCATTATGATGATAGGCTACAATGCTGGTAGGTCATTTACAGGTTGCAGTGAGATCGAAATAAATTTCTTTGCAACTGGATTCAGTGGCGTAAAGTAGAGACAACGAGATTTAAAAGTCATAAGATGCAATCAGTAGCGTAAGGAACATGACGTTTGAATTTTTCAAGTGAGTGTATGAAAATGTAGACTGATATGATGCTATTACACAAATATTTAAAACTAGGAATATAATTGTTCTTACCAATTATATTTTTCACACTTGACTTAGCAATTTTGGTGAGCAGAGATTCTTGACAGGTGCTGTACCAGAGTTATTTAGCTAGCATACAAGGACAAAGCTGAATTACAAGTGCAAAGCTTGTATAAGTGTTGCTTAGATGAATTAAGATTATTATTCGGTAAAACCTACCTATCTACGTATGTAACAGTATTATGAGCAATACTGATAAGCTATCGACTATTTCATCTGTTGCTTATCGTTACAGATATCAAAATGTTTATAAACAAACGAACTAAACCAACATCGAAACTCGCACAAAATTGGATTGTTTCAAGTTACCACACTTCAAAGCAGCATTCAAGGAACAGGTGGATAAAGAAAGAGTAATATCAGGGTATACAAAAGTGTATGAGTGGAGAAGGAATTTGAACACCAATGTTAGTGATAATTTTCAAACTTTTGAAGAGTTTATACATCTGCACCATTGTGGCCGATTTTCAGCCGTATCAGAACGAATCTGCATATCAAGGATCCCAACTGTGAATTCTATACCACTCAAAATTGACCAAACCAACAATGAGAGACGGTATTACCTGGTAACAAGACCATCATGAACCTTCTTTCAACCCAATCCTACTTTGGCTAACATTCCAAGTCGAGGTAGCCAGTGGCTTGTACAGCTAGTGTTCAAGCCAACTTCAGTCACTGAAGTTTCGCAGCACCATAAGCTGATTTGCCTGTTTTGCATTGTACGCTTCCTCTAACCTCGACATTACTCAAATGATGGTTCCACCATACGTAAACAATGTTGCAAAAACACTTGTGGTCGAAAACCTGTAATCTCTTTTGCTTTCAAGGGCCATGTTTCACAGCTGTATAATTGACACGGCGAACCGCAGTTCACTATGTTTGTCCTGTAATAGGTAGTCAAAATCTTGCTAGCATTAGAGATGTCTTAAGTTCGCAAGCGGCAAACAAGCCTTCTGTACCCAAGTTGAGATTTTGTAACCAGCCAACCCGTTCGAGCTTGTGTCTATGCGGTCACTCGGGCATTATCTTCCAAAACGTTAGCCATAATTTATTTCACGGAGAAGAATCAGTCACCGGTTTAACAATAGTGACTAAATTGTTTATTTATGTAGATTTGAAAGGAGTAAGTGTAAACATGGTTTACCTTATACTTGATTATATGTTCAAGAAAATGTAATTAAGCCTTCAACCTACATTCACCTAGTCTGTCTACGTCAAATGAAAGTTACCGCTAAGTGTTTGTAAAATATTCAGTTTTCTGCGTTTCTCAGGTGATCATCATTTAATTAACTTTATCTAATGACTCTTGTTGAATTAATTAACATACAAAATACACGAATCCCAATCCAGTGAATTTTTGTGATATTACATTTTGCATACGAATGAGCACACTTCCTCTACCACAGCAAAATCTATCCCAAGTTGCAGAGAAATTTGACTATTCCTGGTCATGAGTGATATGTTAAACAAGCTTCTTTCAACCTAGCACTGCAGTATCCTGCTATAGCAAATATTTAGACAGTGATAATATCCAAAACATCTTTTTATTCACTAGTATCATCACGATGTGATGTTAGCAAGAGTAGTAAGGGGAAAGACTGAAGGGCACTGTATCTACAGTACTATTGTATTTTATACAAAGTTGGCAATTCTGTCTTCCGATTTTAGAATGTTTAAGTTTGAGATGTATGTGAACAGATTGGTGGTGTAAAATGACAAGATAAGTGGAGAAGACTGCCAATTAATGAAGAATCCTCTCTAACCGTTACCTGTAATGGCTATAATAATATTCAAAAAGTTACACACATGTTTGTTTAAATTTATTCAAACAACTAGATGAGTAAAGTTTATTTCAAATTACAGAATTTTTTCGAAGGGACTCTCGAACACTGTTGATGCGCTGATCCAGGAGAGCCAAGTTTTCCTGGAATTCCATCTCATCAATAGCATGCAGAGAGGAGACACTAGAAGTTATACTGGAAAAAGGGGAACATTGTAATGTGATTGTTGTGTAGTATCTTTGTGTTCAGTGGTTGATTTTCGCTCCTATAAAGTTAAAGATTGTAGTTATATTATCGTTTGTGTAGGGGGAAAAATAAATATGCTTTTTATAATGTCTATCTGCAAATAAACTTCTTGTTTGAAATGCTTCCAAACTAACGTTAACAATAACTTTCAAGATATAACCTAAGTTTATTCATTGCAGTCCCAAGAAGAGTATGGGGGATTTAGATTTTTACTACCAGTTGTTTTAGTACTACTGAAGACACCTTATCAAATGTCATCATGTAGAACTGGCCAGGATACTAAGGAATATATTTCGGTGCATATTATAGGAGAAAATTTCGTTACAATGCATCGGAAAGTAACTCCTTTGATCACTGAACACTTCAATTCATTGCACAGCAACGTAGTGCATGTCGCTCCACCCTGCTGTGAGTCTCACGTCGTAGTGCATGAGGTCTAATGATACTGTTTAATCACTAATAGTGAGTAAGCCGAAGTGGATTCATAGACCTGAATAAAGGATCGGTAGTCAGATGTCTAAACAAATGTCTGATAACTTCACTCTTACAGTATTGCATAATTCAAACAAATATTCCATACCATTTTTCCCTTTCACAAATTTAAATAGAGCAAGAACAACAACTATAGCAGAGTAGCATGAATCCATTTTATTTCGTGGTTTCTCATCAGCTGCTTACAGCCTAAAACAATTTTAACAAAATGTTTGCATACTCAAACCAGCTTGACAGAAAACTTTCAGCTTGAACTAAATATATCATCGATATGCAGTAATTGGAAACTCATGAATCGAGTGAGTAAATATGCAGAGCTACGTTTGCCAATGTATTCAACGTACTAAGAAAGCTTACACAAAATGTGTCATAAGGTCATAAGATTTATGTTAACTAGGAGCAAATGTGGGTAGGATTCAGATAATTAGGTCAAGGGTGTGGAATGTATGAATCGTTAATGATATGTAAAAAAGCATTATGATTGTCAACAAGACATAAGTCTTTAGCATGATAGGCACGAAGTGATAATTGTTTCTTTCTGAACACATAACTCTGATTTTAATCATTTAGTGGATAATGCTTCAATGAAACATATTAAACAGCGTAATGAGAAGACGAAGATTATCTGAAACATGTGGTGTATTAGCGCTATACATTTCGAACAATCGGATCACACATGGACTTGTCGAACTATTTATGTGAAAATTTACGAAAAAGGTCAATGGAGTTATAATAGGAAACATAGGAATAGGAAGGGATAGAAAAAAAAAGGAAAACCTTACTCTTGGTATGAAAATTAAAATCAATACTACCAAGGTAGGTTCAACGTGAGTACGAATTGTTTTTGTATACATAAAGGGGGTTTAAATTTACGGATGACAAGAGCTTCAATTGGCAAACGTAGCTCTGCATATTTACTCACTCGATTCATGAGTTTTCCAATTACTGCATATCGATGATGTATTTAGTTCAAGCTGAAAGTTTTCTGTCAAGCTGGTTTGAGTATGCAAACATTTTGTTAAAATTGTTTTAGGCTGTAAGCAGCTGATGAGAAACCACGAAATAAAATGGATTCATGCTACTCTGCTATAGTTGTTGTTCTTGCTACATGCAAAAATATCATTACCTAACGTTATCCATATTTCCTATTCATAAAACATCGATACGTAACACTCAGAAAAAGCGACTAAGAGTGCTTTTATACGAACACTGAAATAACTCCATGTTGGTCTACTGGATATTTTACACAATGAAACAACAAACAAACTAACATGAAGTTTGCACAACCATGGTGCTGTAGTTCTACGCTTACATTAATAACATTTAAATAGTTGCAACGAAGATTTTTGCTTCCAGTATTGATATTCTTAAATCACTACATATCTTCAATTCACCAGTGTTTATTATTGCGTTTTCGCTTGATAACGAATACTGGTACATTTTTATCATTCGGGGTAGAGATAGAGATATGAAAGATTATGACTGACGTTTGTTGACCAGCCAGATTGGTGTAAAATGTTGTAAGAGAGCTGCATTATATAGTTTAATCTGTGTGAAAACTAGCGAAAGTGAGAACAGCGAAACCTTCAGGACGTATAAAACATAGTGAACGTCTCCTGGTGTTTTAACTGTCGATTGCTTAAACATTGTAAACTTCCGTATGGTTTCTCCGCACACCCACCCATAAAACTACCCTGACTAAGACATCCTGCTATACTCATGCTTGTGATTAGCAATCAACCAGAAGAAGCAGTTTTTACGAGCTTAGCGAAAATGTGTTCTAATGCACAGGATTTTGTAGACTGACTGTCAGAAGAAATACATTACAATAATCTGTTCAGTTGCTTAGATAGAGTTTCTTCTCTTATCAAAACTACCTATCTCATCCAATATAGTAGTTATAAAGCCTTTTCTAAAGTAATGTACATAGCTTACTAACTCCAGTTTACCTAAGGTACACCGCGATTCTATTGATCTTAATTTATAATGATCCATTCAAAACTTGTTAACCACTGATCTTGAGATCTTAGAGAAGTTAGTATTTTGCACTGATGATGAGCACTCCTCAATTCACGCGTTTACTTTGGTTTCATTATCTTCAGTTAGCGACTTCAAAGCAGACTGGAATCAAGTATCCAACACTCCAAGTAACCTCTAGTTATCTACTAGGTGACTGACTCTTGTTAGCCCGATCTAATTCTGTCAGGATCAAAATGTGATCAAGGATGTTAAAAAAGGAGTGCGTATGGATATAAAATACTTTCAAGTAACTGCGCCGTTTCTGCTGTTGGAAAGATATCTGACTACAAATCAAAAATGAAACAGTCCCCTGTATAACCTTCGACGGAGGTTAAGTCTATTGCAGCATTATGCTGTGTTCTACTCTGAGATCGCAAATATGATTGTTGTTGTGGCAGATATAACAGGGAAAGAGGTTTTTGACCGTGAGTGACAGAAATACCACTTCAGCAATTTTGAGACTAAGTATAGAGTACTAGGTTAGGAAGGCAAGTCAGTTGAGAGGGTTAAGAATATTAACTGGCTGAGAAAGCCAAACATAAGTCTGAAGGTTCTCAGACCAAGGCGTAGCATCAGTTTTTAAATTTCCTAACTGTTATTGGGAGTTGTGCAGGCTGAGTGGTGGTTTTTCTCGAATTGTAGCGATTCACAGGCTGAAAACTTGTTGGTGCTACTCGAAATCCCCCGTGTAGATATACATTTATCTTCTATTTTTCATCTTGGAGAAGTGAGTTGTTTTATGAATATTCGTTTATCTATTCGAGGACATCCTTTTCCATTTGTATTGATTTCATCCTATTTCTACTCATGTTTTCATTGTTTACTGTTTTTAAGCACTGCAACTCAAAGTGTTGCACTTATATGCTATATTTTACATTAGTTTATCTGCCTGGTTTCAATTATTAATGAACATAAGTTAGTGCATATTTTTGCTGCTGCATTTTATCTAAGATGAGTGATTTAAAATGTTTATCCACTGTGAATTAACTACAGATTGAAATTCCTATCAAAAAGTTATTATACTGAACGTTGTCTGCTTGTTGATGATTCATATGGGAATTAGCATCATAGTTTTCGTATTGCTTGATAAACAACCGATTACACCGCCTTTGTTCATTTAAATAGGCACGGAAGCATGAACTATTAAAGTACATAAAGGAAGACTGAATGGGACGTTCGACACTGTATACTGAGACAGTAAATAAACTACAAAATTTAACACAGTTATCACATTTAGCTTTAAGATCAAAGCCTACTTGTCGTAACTAAGACATACACTTTGCTATGACAACACATTTCAGTAGGTACTATTCAATGGTTAATTTCTTGTACACACGTTAGTGAAATGGTATGTTAAATTTACATATTGATTTGATAGAAAAGAAAAAAAATAATTCCACAAAAAGTAGAAGGTATATATATATATATATATATATATATATATATATATATATATATATATATATATATATATATATATATATATATATATATATATATATATATATATATATATATGTAACCTACATTGTTTGAAGATACGGGTATTGAATGGGCCGAAAAGCAATCGCTTTCAAATGAATTATCATGATTGTTCGAACTCTGCAGTCGGTCACTATGGCAACAGAATGGGAAACAAATGATAGTTGCGATAACGTATGTTGGGTTTAACCAATTTTTATACGGTGTTAACTGACAATGAATGAATAGATTTCAACCTATTTAATTTGATATCATTCGGTGCAAGTGTATCAACCAAGTTTTTTTTTTTAAAATAGGCATTTTTGATAAAAATAAATTACGTGCAATAAGATAAATTATATATATATATATATATGGACGTTTGAAAAATAACCTTCAGGTTACACTGCTTGATGATGGCTTAGTTTTTCGGTAAGTGGAAAAGGTTGTAATATAACAGGTGATGTATTGCAACATCAAAAACCCATAATTAATACAAGGGTTTAAATATATTTACAATGACCTTGGCTATTTGCAAGCCTTTCTAGATTAGAACTTCCTATTGATCTTTTGTCTCTCTTAGTGTCTCTCATCGTGATAATCCAGAAAAGTTTTTTTCAGATGAAATGTGGTTTGGAAACAACAGGTGAGACAATTAGTTTGTCGAAATTGGTTACTCAGGTAGTTCACGAATTTCTGAGTAATTGACCTTGATTCTCGGAGTAATATGATTGAAGGAAATATATCCAGTTCAACAGAAACATCTAATGTAATCCTGGATGCTTGCAAGGGATTTGAAATTCATTTGTCAGTTTTACTTTATGAATGAATGAAATTTTCAAAACTACCAAAGTATGTTTGTGCTATTTTAAGTTCAGCTTGTCACCGAAACTGCATTCTAGGGCCTCTTGATAACAATTTGTATTGGTTGTCAGAACGCCGTAGATAATATCATAATTATTCTAGTGTCTTTCTCGCACTATCTTACAGAATTAGATACTTTTAATTTAGTGATAAAGCGATTTTAATTTCTTAACTGTAGAGGAAGATATTAATTTCAAAGGGTTGTATCAAGAATTCAAAACTAACTATAAGCTAACAGCTAACGAAGCCCTATGTTCCACTAGGAATCCAAAGGACAAATAATAATAATACTAATGTAAGCTAAAAGTTGGTTTATTAGGTGTATCACATAGTGGGACGGTATTGTTTACTGGATTACTGTATGCTAATACTGTAATTAGGATGGCTCTGGAAGCAGTTAGAAATGAGCTCAATAACGTCCATCAACCCAGACTACGAACTAAGGTACCAGAAGACGAGGTCATATTAGAAGTATAACTATGCCTAACTTCCAAAATCTTCAAGTTTCAGCATCAAACACAAACAAATAGAAGGAGCTGCCATGGGATCACCAACATCCTCTATCATGGCAGACATATTTATCGACAGTTGAGAACGGATGGTTATGAAAACATTTAGTCGGGCTCCATAAGTATGCGCCTTCGATATGAAGATGACACGCTTACAGTGTTGAAGTCGGAGCACACATAGTTTACTCACATATATAAATTCGGTAGTCAACTCAATTCAATTCACCTATGAATTAGAAAATAATGAAGGGGAATTAGCAATGCTGGATTACAGAATGAAACGAGAAGATGGGAGTTTAGAAACTGATGTCCATAGAAAACCACACTAGAATCGTTGCTTGGACTTCAGATCACCTCGCCCCATGTCAGTTAAAGGTGGCTTGTTAAAATGCTAAGTAATGGGGCCAAAAAACATACTGGTAAAACAGAAGATCTAAGACAGTGAGGACACTTCACTCATCAACAGTTACCCTGCGAAAATAATTGTTAGGCTCCTTAGTAACCATAAGAAGGAGATGACTAGTATTAGTAACACAGGTGTCTATAATACGAATAATAATGTCTATAATATTAGTGACAGTATTGTGAAGAGAGAATTCAAAGCCTCTACAGTATTACCTTAAAAGGAAGGCACCTTAGCGACACCACGTAGGTTCGTCAATAAGGCTGGGATTAGAGTGCCATTTTAAACCTACAAACTCACTTAGAAATAAGCTTTGTAGGTTAAACGATCCCACTGAACAAATTGGGCAGGATAATTTAGTTGATCAAATCCGTCCCAATGACTGCGAGACCAAATACACAAATTAAAGTGGTGGAACGGGGTCGAATAGGCTATCTGAGCACAAAAAGATAACTAGGTCAAAATTGGTAGATTCTGGTGAGATAAGGAATTTAGAACAGTGCCCGACCATAGCTGTGGATTCAATTACACGCAACCACACAGTGGGATGGGACAGAGTAAAAATCCTTAAAACTAGCCTAGTTGGGTTGAGGGAGAGATTACTTACTGAATCGTTGTACATCAAATCAACATGTAATACATACAATAGGAATGACTCAGCACCTGTTCTGGATATATGGAAAGTTCTACTACTTATATCACACAGGAGGCAAGGGAACTAAAACTAAATAAACAATGTCTCAAAGCTGTGGAGTTATCTTGATATGACAATGGACACTAAGTTGCGTTCGAAACGCAATCCAGTAAACAATACTGTTACACCGTGTGATAAATCTAACAGATCAACTGAAATGAAATTACATTCAACCCCAGTGTCCAAGTTTCACTCTTGTCCTAGTGCAAGCTAACAGGTTTATAATGGTGAAACGCTACAGCTATTAGGTAATGATATAAATGGAAACGTGTTTGGAGGTCGGGTTGAATACAAGCTGTTTTGAGATAATTTGCAGCAGAACGTCATCTGTATACAGACATGTAACTGTGTTTGTCGAAGTGAAGACTGGGATTGTAATTTACAATGTTATTTCTGATAGATATCCTTATTCCAAAGACGAACACTGATAAGCAGTAAAAGAATTATGAAGTATGGCTTGGAACTGATATACAGACAGACAAAGTCAACGTAGAATGTTGAACACATGTATATCGGTTCAGGTTGCCACACTTCACAGTAGCATACAGAGAACAAGTGGATAGGAAAAGGGTGATATCAAGGTAGAAAACGTAGTGTGAGGGAATAAGAAATTTTGAGACAAAGGATGGTGCGAATATTTAAGCTTCAGATGTTAAAGAGTGAGGAGATCTGCGCCATTGTGACCGATTTTCAGCCATATCACCAACAGTCCTCAACCATTGATTCCTTTCGTCTCGGTGACTCCAACCAAGTTAGTCTACCTCTCCCAACACGGCTCAAACCAACACTCAGGGACTTCATCGACTGGTGCCATGTCTTAGTCTGGTCATCCTGAATTCTTTTACAACCTAATCCAGCTTCCTCATAGCATGGCATGCTGAGGTAGGTGGTGGCTCGCTCGGCATGCGCAACGTATGCCAAAGCTACCTCAAACGATGAAGGTTCATAACCTTGTTGACTGACTTACCTTCCTTTTCTGGAACCCTTCACCCAACCTCAACATTGTTCACACGGTGACCTGATGTCAGTTGCTTGAGAGAATAATGAGAAAGTTCACTTTTGAAGTTGTGATTTAACTAAACCTACAATATATGGTTATCAAATTTGAATCTGTTCCATGCTATTTTTCAGTCTTCTTTTGGATGTAAAATAATATCCTAATTGCTAAGCTTTCGTGATCTATTAAGCGCAAATCTTCACACTTCTTTATCATGTTTATGGAATCTTGAATATCTAAGTTACAGTATTACTGTGAGAATAAAATATCCATAGCCAAAAAAGTACATTTTTGTACTGTTAAGAATTAACAAATTACATTTGGCTTGGTTTATATATAAGTGATGTAAAATATCAAACTAGTGTAATTAGTTTATCCTTTCCTATAAGAACACTTCATCTCAATTATTACTGAAATAATGCACAAGTATATGGTGTATAGACAGCTTATCATACATAAAGCTCTGCTTTGGAAACCAAACTTTATTTCAGTATGGTTCAGTATGCAATATGAGATCCAAAAAAACCCAGTTTTTCGAATATGACCCGCCAAAAATAACTACGTAGTGATGAAAAAACACTACATTTTAAAGCACATAAAATTACCATATCGATTGATAATAATAACTTCGCGTTAATATCATACACCCTCAGTTTATATAGTGCAGTGCTGGATGGAGTATTACGTGTTTTATGACACGGAATACTAACAAAAACGAAATTGTTACATGAGGAATGAACCTACCTCCAATAATGCTGATCATCCCATTCTGTTTGACATGACTGATTTATGAGACAGTTTTTAGCAGGACTTTGAGAAGCTGCTGCCATACATTTGTGAGACTCTCGATATTCATTACCGAGAAGGAGAAGTTTACTTAAGGTAGGTAACGTAGCTGACAGATCTGGTGTTGATCTGAGTGAACTGATATGCTTCAGATGAACTTGAGAATATGCTGAGTCAGTGGAAAAACTTTCACATCTTTCTGGTGATGAATGCTTCGGATATTGTGAAAATGGTCTCACATCTGACTGAGACTGCTCTAACATAGACATTCGATCTTTCAAAAGTTTAATGTATTCACGTGATGTTTCAAGGTTTTTGGCAGCCTGATCCTTAGCTGCTAGAACAGCAGACAACTTTTTATGAAACCGTTCTTTTTCCACCTTAAGAGATTAACATGAGACATAGAAGAAGTGTATCAGTTTTAGGTATCAATCATAAAATTGACAAAAGATTTGTCTTCTCATTTGTTATCTGGAGTTTTCTGTATTCAATGAGAAAACAAGCTTACAATTTAGTGATACGAAATGAAAACAACCTATTTAACTTCTAGCTGCGCATAACACCCTGTCACACCTATTTTCGATGAACGGTACCAAAATTAGCACAATCTAGTTCCTTGATGAATTTTAAATCACTTAAGGTAATAAAGTTAATGACCTTTAGCTATTTAAGAATTGTATTTTTCGTCATCATATCATTTCATTATAAAGCATACAAAAATGGCTATTATTATTATTGGATTTATGTTTCACCATGCTTCCAACAGTTCACATAAAAATATGCTTTATGTAGACTGGGTTGAACCATACTTATCATTCATATATGAAATTGATTCATTAAGTTTAAAACTGAAAACATTTCCTACTTGATACACCACTTTCAAGGAAGAAGACCTCCAAATTTAACTGTCTTTTGCAACGGAAGGAAATGAATTGGTGTGTGGAAGTCGACTGACTTTAAAAGTTACCCTAGCAACTTACGAGATAACCAATCATGTCTCTTCATTTTAAAAATAACCATCAACGTAGCCAAAAAACAGAAAGGTGATTGGCTATTTCAGGAGTTGCCAACATGGCCTTTAAAGTTGCTCGTGAAAATCTCAGTCATACAGAATTCAAAATTAATGCGTACTGATTTTTAAGTGTCAGCATATTAACCAAGACTAGGTTAGATTAAAAAACATGTGTGCTCAAGGGGACCACTAGGTTTCACATGCACCACTCAGATCTTGAGGGATTCATTGTGATTAGTTTCATCAAGGAGATCGGCTAGTGAAACAACGTAAAGCAGTAACCCACGGCTTCAAAATTTGACCGGGTACTCTAGATAATAGAGTTTATATTCATCATTGATGGAGGCGAGTGTGCTGTTTGAGCAACGAGAGACCCAATCAAAAAATTTGTTTTACCAGATTAGACCGAAACGGAATTCTTCACAATCTTTTCCAGGAGAAAAAAAGGGTTTATGGAAAACTGATTAATTTGTTTAAAATCACCGGCTGAACGGAAAAAAAATCCCCTTGAGTTGAGAGGATATGTAATGTACGTACATGAATATTGCACTTTCTGTTGAAAATAATAAATGGTTCATATTTGTTATTTTTCAAGTTGGTAAAGAGGATATGAAGAACAGGTTGGTAAGTAGTGTGAACGACATGAAGAAAATATGGGTGTAAAAATTGAGTCTTGCTTTTATCTACAGTCTGTGCAATAGGATATATTCCCAATAGCTCCTATCATCAAAATCCTTGAGAATAATGAATACCAAAACACCAACCAACTAATTACCTGTATTTTAATTAAGTCATACTGAGATAAACCTTTCCGGCTGTAGAAATATTGTAAGTGTAGTAGCTGACTCTGAATTAAGTTAAACTGGGGTTTTTGCATACAGAAAGTCTACAAAGTAATTTGATTGGTAAGAATCTCTTGTACTTGTTACAAAGACATTTACACGCCTTCTAGTTTGACATAGTTAACCTGTGTAATAACAGTTACATCAATGAAATTTCATTTGTTGATAGGCGAAAAGATGGGGTTTAATCATAATTTCTACAAGTTTAGACTTTTTTCCAAATAGTTTTTCAGTTTTTTATACTTTAGAAAGCTAGTGAGAAAGCTGTTATCAAAAAAAACAGGTTTCATGATGTATTGCTTGGGAGTAGAAACGTGGTATTCGCTTAATATGGAATATCCAATGGGTATGGAAAATTTACTTTCACAATTATTGAGAATAAGTGACAAAAAATGTACAAATTATTACGTGATGACTTTCGAAAAAAGTAAACAATTCTGTATATCAGAATATATTTCAAATCTTCAAATTCTTTGGGAAATGCCTTAGTCAAAGTGAAAGATGTAATTCCAAAGATGACACAAAAGCCGTGTATCAGATAAGATTTAGGGACTGTGAGGCCAATTATATTGGTGAAAGTTGTGGACAGCTAAAACTTACAGTGAATGAACACAGGTTATGTAGCAAACACCCACCAAAGAATGAAGAGGAATCGGAAAAGAGATCAGCAATAGCGATGAATGTTATTGAAAGTGAGCACAAGATTGATTTTGACAATGTTTGACATATTAGGGAAGGGTTTTTATTCACATAAAGAAAGACTGATCTCGGAAGCCCCGCATATTTTAACGTCAACAAATCTTATAAACAGAAAGGAAGGAATAGATTTGTCACCCATCTGGTAGACTAATTCGGCAAAAACATTAAAAAAGTCACCATTTAAAATTGGACTTTTAAAAAACAAACAAACAATATTGATCAATTATTGTTCATGAATAAACATGTTTTTCATATTATATCCATGACAAACTTATGCATCGTGGAGAGAATCAATTCATTATAAATATATTTGTAATGAATATATATATATATATATATATATATATATATATATTTACTGCGCATGATCATACCAACTGTTGGAATTATTTTGAACAAATAATCTAGGTAAACATTCATTACATATTTTCATACAGTAAACAATGAACGACACACATTTTCCATAACACTTACACACATACATACAGATACTTAGATTACTGAATCGTTTTTGATGATAAAGGATAAAGACCTCGTGAATTTACGATGACTAGTTAGAAAATTATCGGTCAACAAATCAGCTAACCAATGGTTTAAAGACAGAAATCCTCTGTGCACTATTTGACAGTACATATTTTCATGTCAAATAAAAATTTGAATATTCTACTGAAGAAGCTATAGCATACACAGTGAAACGTTCAGAAAAACCTTTTTTTTATTTTCTAAACACGCTGGGATTACATTAAAACTTACTTACATAATGATTAAACCTGACTCGACATTCAACTTCTTTCAGGTCAGTCTTAACAACAATGGCCTGGATGTTTATAATTCAATATATATTCCTTTCATTTAATTATAATCATAACATTACATAACAATAGTGATTTTTTGTGTGCCCTGAATACACAACATTAACAGTTCCAAATAAGTTCCAGTGTGAATTCGGATAAAACTGGTGGATATCACCTCTGTCCAACTAGAATGTTATACACCTTATCCTACCTAACAGGTGCCAACAGAACACAACGACAACGGGTAAGTGAAAAGACACGCCACAGGATTTGAAAAGATGTAATTAGTTTGTCTGTTCGATATCCAATGTGTACAAACAAAATTAATTTCAGTATTAACGTGATATTGATACACAGAATATTTACAAAGATATTTGAATGAAGTTACATAGAGACTTAACTAATTTCAAACATTTAGGCTTGAAATGGACTGGATTTTTGGAAAAACTCGTACACTGTACTGATATTATTCATTAGGTTAGATGTATTTTATACTTGTGTAATCCCGGTGTATATTCATACGACAGGAAATGCATAAATATTTTGCAACATTTCTCAACTTTTCAACCTTACTAGACTAGGAAGACCTTTTACACAAGTAAAAATCTGATATTAGATTTTCACACCGATGTATTCAAGTTTTTTCATAGATTATGAATTTTTTACAACCATCCGAATAAAATGTCATGGATATAAAAGAGGACAATATGATCTTGGTCTTAGGCTCAGTCCTTGGCGGGGTTGTGAATGCATTCTGCAGAGTAGTCCCATACTAAGAAGAAACACATCAGGAGTTCTAAGGTTCTCAATGGTTCGCCAACTAGTGTCAATCTGTGATAGAGACCATTTTAAAATGAGTCAATCTTCTTGTCATCTAAATGCAGTTTATGTCATCAAGACCTGTGACTTTACTGAATTCTATTCTCATTAAAAGTTCTACCGTACACAGAAATGTGTATCAGAAAGAAACCTGGGTTTCAATTAATTCACCTGTCTTACCGTTTGTAGTTCATTTTTGTAAAAGACAATTCCTCAACAGTCCTTTCAAACAACTATGCTGTCAATTCATTTCCACAAACATCGCTTACGAATCACAAACACAGTCTAACTTTCCTAAAATTGAAGGTGAAGTGAACGAGTGGAGTAACCGCTGAAATACTGACGTAGAAAGCGACAAGACGGAGACGAAGGAAGGAATGTTTGTTTTGACATCTTGTACAGTTATAAAATATTGTACACTTTCCACCAAGACAGTCATTTGCATAATGTGCTTCATTACCTCTTCTGCCTCTAACTTGATTTACTATTAATATGCCCACATTGTCTCTTATATTTCTCTGAGCAGAATTTTTATCCATTGCTGGTAATTCCCTATGATTTCTGCCGCCCTTTCAACATATACTACTTATATCCATTCTCATCAGCAGTGCCCACTACATTAACGATACTGAATAGAATACAACACTTGGAATGAATCTGTTGACTGAGACATGAAAATATCGGAAGACAAGAACGACTTCATTCGACAAAATTATATTATATGTATACAGTCTTCACAAATATAAAAATCCACTAGGTTAAAGTTAAAATTTAAAAAGTACCGGTTGTCCCTATGAAGTATGAAAATGTTGATTAAGGTTAATCATGACTGCACATCAGCATAGATCAAAATTTAAAGCTCAAAAATGTAGAGAAGTTTATCCGAAAAAAGGTGCTGAAACAAATAATGGAGATTGGGTAAGTACTGATGAACCTCCTAGCTGATGTACACATCAGAAATAAAACGCATTCTAAATTGTAACAACTTTGAGGCATTCTTTAGGACTGCGAAAACTGCATTGACCCCCATCCACGCTAAAAAGCCCATCTTCTCTGGAACAGCAGAATCCTATTAATGAGGTAGACTGTAATGAATGTGATGCTAAGTACATTGGTGAGATATCACATCAAGTGCTTGCGCACCTGGTTGAATACGGCAGAAGCTGCAAACGACAAAACTGACATGAACTACAGAAGCCTGAAAAGGATATATA